GGAGAAGTGGTGCCTCGATGCGCACCCGGGATCCGAACCTGGGCCACCAGCATCGCAGCGCGCGCACTTAACCACCAAGCCACAGGGCCGGCCCTAAATTAGCTTTTTTAAAATTGTTAGTTACTATTCTTTTCTTTTGGAAGTTTTATTCTGCACATAGTAACATTGTACAGAAATATTAAAAATGTTCAATCTTCACAAATGCTTATATTCTAAAATCTTTTTTTTTTGTTTTTCTCTAAGCCCTTATGCAACTAGAATCTATTTTAAAGAAAATCATAAAAGAACGAAAAGGAATGAACTTCAATCAACATATTTTCATTGACTCCTTAGTACAGGGGAACCTTAATGACCAACAGGTGATGTAATTGTTAAATGTTTATCAAATAAAAGATAATCACACATGTATAGAATATGCTTTTTATTCACTTAATCCAGATGCCCTCAGAATTCAGTGGCTTTCTTCTCTTTTATTGTACGTCATCCATGAATAGTACAAGATTTAGTTCCTGTTATTTAGCTCTTTGAAGCAGCTGTATATTATTTAATGTTTGGGTAAGCAAATATTGAACCAAAATTCTCTGATCATAAGAGAGGAGGACTTGTATAAGCCTTTATCGGCTAAGCTGCTGTGCCTCCATGACCAGGTGTGGCAGCTTGGCTTCTTGCCAGTGTGTGTCTCTGACCCCAGCACACCACTGTTTGTGGTGGTGTTAGGCGAAGGACAGGGCGGAGCCATTACTGCCACCCCGTCTGTTGAATCAGGCTCTTCTCTATTCCTGCGGCTTTGTTGCTGCACCAGGCCAAGCCAGAAAGATAGGACTGAGCCAGTTTGTTTGCAAAAATGTATCATGAGCCAGTAATATTACAATGTTTACTGCATCTAAGAGGCAATGCCATATTTAGGTTGGTTATTTACATTATATAGATGTTTTTTAAGTGAAAAACATCGTAAATAAATAATATACTTTTTTCCTTTCCTTGACCCTAATTCTATACTCTAGATTATTTTAGTGTAGGGCCTAATACGGGCCACCTTACATTTCACCCTTTCTAAACTTAGTTTTGTTTCCTAGATCCTAGAAGACAGTATGATATTTTCTCTGGCCAGTTGCATAATAACTGCAAAATGTAAGTATAAATTGATTTCTTTTTGAGATAGATTATAAAATATACAAAGGGAAAGCTATTCTAAAATAAAGGTAACACTGTTTGTAAGACCTCTTTATAATTTCCCTTCCTCTCTTTTTCACTCTTTGTCTGAAAGGCTTTTTCACACGGAGACCTTTTTTTTTTGTTTTTTACCCCAGGTGCTCTGTGCAACCTCTGAACATTGCCATAAGTTTCTTGACACAGTTTATGGATTCCGAATTCTAGTTAGTGCCTTTAAAATGAACTGCTATTGACACCTTTCCAACCGGAGCAGTGAGCTTTTCAATTTCCTGCTGTGGCTTTTCACTTTGACTCCAATCCAGTCTGCTATTGTTAAGGTCTGCCAACAGAGGATATAGGCCACAGAAATCATGATTTAAAAGAACTCCTCTTTTGGTGGAAGTGAAGGTTATTTTTATTTAAAATTCTAAAATGTATGATATGCTTCTTAAGTTTCCTTACTGGTTTCTAGTTTAGCAGAGTACATTCTTAAATATAGTATTTATAAAAATTTGTGTATAGCCATAAAAATATACTAATATAAAATGCTAAAGGAAGTGTTAAAACATGAGTTTAAAATCTAAAAAATTTATGTTCATTTGAAGGATTTCATTTCCAACTCTTTCTGTTTAAGGAAATTTTCTTAAAAACAGTGAGTAAAATGTAAACTTCCCATAAATTTTTCTTCTTTGTAAAATTTTTGCCATCTACAGATGTTAAGACATTATAGATTAAATGGAATTTAGGTAAGCATGTGTCAAAAATAATGTATTAAAGCTTTTAAAGAAAAGATTAACTTGTTTAAAAAATTTATTACATTAGAATACATCTTTGCAAAAGACCTTCAAAAAGTCTGAATCATGTGTGCTCTGGATACCATAAAAAGTGATCATTTCCAAGGTTGAGTTAATATTTTAATCTTATTTGCAGTTTTTGGGGGGAATTTTCAGAGTTGCTATTTCTTTGCGTGTGGGTTGGTTGTTGTTTAAGGCACTTCTGAAGTTTTTGAGAGGCAGATAGCAGGAAACCTTAATTAAAGTCTCTCGTCTGCTCCTTGTTAGCCCTGAGCAAGATACTTACCTCTGCATTTTCTCCTTTTCTGAAATATGGGTTTAGCTCTAGACGACTGCACGGTGTCTTTCAGCTATAAAATTGTGTCTTAGTTCAGTGTTGTCATTAAAGAATGTTCAATGGCTTAAAATCACATTTTTAAGATATCCCAGTCAAGAACCAATGTTTGAGTTTATTAAGCTTGGACAGTTATATTAATTTTAAGTGATAATATAGTCAAGCAGGGTATATGAGTGTCTACTGTATGCAAATCCTTATGCTAATCTTTCAATGTTGTATATTACGATATATTGTTGTAAAATTGCATACATTTACATATTGTACACTGCACAAGTTTTCACATCACTCCTTGTGAAATAGAAATTCTACAGTTCACTCAAAAGCCATAATAAAGAAGCATGTGTAGGAAAAAGTTAAAAGACAGGTAGTTACTCATGTGCTTTTTATGAACTCTGATAATTTACTCAAAGTAAATTATCATAATAATTGAGTACCAGGTAGCTATTGATTTTATTGATAATAATATTTAGTGCAGAAAGTGAATTATGTCTTTTCCAGGCATAGGAATTGGATAATATGTGAATTAGGCAAACATTAAAAAAAATTAACTTTGAAACAAATTTGTCAGCACTTAGTTCAGGAAAGAGGTAATTAATAAGTAGAGATAGAAATTACTAAACACATTTTAAAAAGTACTTGGTGTAGAAAATGTAGATCTGTAGATAGAGTCATCTCAAGCATAATCTAGAGAAAGAGGTACTGTATATCTGGATGGTTCCATTCTTTGTTTTTTTTTTAAGATTTTATTTATTTATTTATTTATTTCCCCCCCCAAAGCCCCAGTAGATTGTTGTATGTCATAGCTGCACATCATTCTAGTTGCTGTATGTGGGACGCGGCCTCAGCATGGCCGGAGAAGTGGTGCATCGGTGCGTGCCCGGGATCCAAACCCGGGCCACCAGCAGCAGAGCGCGCGCACTTAACCGCCAAGCCACAGGGCCGGCCCAAGGATGGTTCCATTCTTTGAATAGTTGAGTCCCAGTGGATTCCTAAAGGAAATATAACTACTCTATTTCCTCTGTTTTATGTTGATCATGTAATTTTCTTACCTTTTCATTTCCTAAGTGAATATAATCCATAAGCCACTTTAAGCAAAAGTAAGCCATAAGCTAGTGATCTTCCAATTTTGGTGTTCATCAAAATAATTCTGTTATTTGTTAGAAGTATGGGTGCCTGGACCTCACCCTAAACCTACTGAACCAGAATCTGTGGATGTGGGGTTGTGCCATCAACCAACTGCCAGGTGATTTTTGAGAACCACTGTCCTAAGCAATAACCAGTCCTGGTTCTGGAGCCAGTGTATCCACCATTACAAGTAAAAATTTAGAATATTGATTTATAGGTAAATCTCCTGCTACTTTGATTGGTATGAAGCATTTAATTAGGGCTCCTGAATGAACTGATACATCAATTTTTTGATTTTACAAGGTTGAGTGAAACAGACAATCCATCACAGTTATCAACATTTAAGACTCCCCTAGACGTAAAGTTTATTTATTATCATTACTGTTTTACCTAAGGTAAAATGCATTAAGTAGCTTAGGTTACTTGCTAGTTTTAAGAAAGAAGTCTTCTAAACTGCACTATCTCTTTTAGTATTCTGTAAATATGCATGTTCTATTTAATGAAGTACAAATCCTGTGAACAATCTTGTTTTATTTTTTGGTAGAATTTATGTATCTTCTGTATCAGAAAAAAAAGAAAATAGCAAAAAAAAAGTAAGATTTTTCTTATTCTGCATTCAAATTATGAATTAGCTATTTTCATTGTTATTAATATAAATTTTCACTTAGTGTGCACCTGGGCAATCTGTTTTTTAACCACCTCTGAAGAAGTTCAGAAAAAACTATATGAAGAGATAGACCAAGTTTTTGGGAAGGGTCCTATTACTCCAGAAAAAATTGAGCAGCTCAGGTAAGAATACAATAAAAGGAAGAGGAGATCATTAAAAAGTAAATTTGAACTTGTTTAACTATCTAATTTAAAGCTAATACTAATATCTAGGAAAGCTAAATATTTTAATAATACTTAAAATATTTGCATACAGATTTTAATGGGTAATTTAATTTGCTTTTTAAAATCATAAAGTAGTTGTGGGAAACCTTTGCATTAGCCTGTATAAAATAGTATCAGTGATGTCAAGTAAGTGGAGCACTCATAACTTATTGGCGGGAGTGCAAAATGGTACATCCTGTTGGAAAACCCTGTGGCAGAATTTTATAAAGTTAAACATACACTTACCGTATGACCCAACAGTTCTACTCCTAGGCATTTACACAAGAGAAATGAAAACATATGTCCACACAGAGACCTATGCAAACGTTCACAGCAGTGTTATTCATAATAGCAAAAAACTGGAAGCAGTCCAGATGTTCATCTGGTGAATGGATAAACAAATTGTGTATCTGTGTTATGGAATATTACCAGGTAATAAAAAGTAACACAATATCAATACACACAATAACATGGATAAATCTCATTATGCTAAGTGAAAGATGCCAAACACAAAGACTGCCTACAATATGATTTCATTTAGGTGAAATTCGAGAAAAGGCAAATGTATTGTGATAGAAAGCAGATCAGTGGTTGTCTCAGGCCAGGAATGGGGAAGGGATCAAACTACGAAGCAGTACGAGGAAAGTTTTTAGAGTGAGGGAACTGTTCTATATCTTGCTTGTGGTTGTGGTTACACAATTGTATACAATTGCTAAAATTCACCAAACTGTACAGGTAAAATAGATGAATTTTTTATATGTAAGTAATGCCTTAGTAAAAAGATTTAAAAAAATAGCAGCTGTGAATGTTTAGAGGGTTGGAGTCTGAGACTGAGTAGCAAGCAACCCTACCTTGGAGCATCTTTCAAGTAGTATAGAAAAGAAGATAGGGAGACAGCCATTGGAAAGAACTCGAAGTCATGGGTTTCGCAGGGAGACTTCTGTTACAGGTTCTTCACAATGTTGGAAGTTTTATTTATTAAATTGAATATAATTATTTTTAATTTTAAAAGTAATACTTGTCTTTTGAAGTTTTTATAATACAGAAGTTTATGAAGTAGAAGGTGAAGGTCCTTTGTAAATGTACCTTAAAGAGAACTATCTTTACATATTTTTCCAGATTTTTTCTATGCATATATACATGTGTTTAAAAGAAAAAAATTAAAAACATTTTAAAATATAAAACATAACTCTTCTATAAATTCCATTTTTTGTCTAAATATTTTTGTGGACACTATTCTTACATGTAGTAACTTTACCACATTCAATCAGTGATCAAGTTCTATTGATACTAATCTCCAAACAACTTCTAGTTGGAAGTTTAGTTCTAGTTCTTTTCATTGCCCCCATTATATCCAGACCGCCATCAACTTGCCTGGCATATTTCACCAGCCTTGGATCTTGGCGTTCTCCACTCCATTCTCCAGATGGCTACTGCAGCCTGTGACTGCACGCGGTACTCACTTTGGGTGCTTTAAAAATACAGATAACCTGGGACCAATCGCAAACGAACAATCTCTGGGTGTGAGAAGGTGTCAAAAGCTGCTCAGGTGATTCTAATGTTTAGCTCAAGTTGAGAATCACTGTGCTAGTGATCTTTCTATATCTGGGGAGTCACATCTGATCAGATGACTCCCCAGTTTAAAATCCTTCAGTGATTTCCTGTTGCCTTTAAGATAACATTTAAACTCACTAACATAGCTTACGAGGCATTTCGAGAGCTAGGCCTTGCATTCCTTTCCCACCTTATCCCTTGTTACGTGTCCCTCTTCATACCCTTGGATTCGGCTCTACTGAAATTCTTTTGTTTCTTTAAAAGTGCAGAACTCTTTTTCTTATCTCCTGGCTTTTGCAGACACTCCTTTATCTAGATTGTCTCTTCTGTCCTGTAGCTAACTCTAGTTTTTTTCCGCAGGTCTCATCCTAAGTGTTTGCTTCTCTGCCAAATCCTATCTCTAGTGAGGTGCTCCTGCCATGTGTTCCTTAATGCCCTGAACTTCTGTATCCTCACAGCTACTGTGCTTTTTAAATTGTTCATCCTTGATGTCCCTTCCTCTCTCCCTTCCCTTGCCAGCTAGACTTTGAATTCCTTTGAGGGTATCTGGTCTTGTTCACTGTTGCAGCTCAGTATCTAACATAGTAGGTACCCAATAAATATTTGTTCAAAGAGGAAAGGAAGGATGTTTCCTCTTTTATTTTTAGGTATTATAAACAATCAACATTCCTATGCTTACATCTTTGCTAATATTTCCAATTGTTTCTATTAATAGAGGCCTAGAAATGAGATTATTATTTAAGGATATGTGCAATGGTAGAGTGTTTATGCTTAGGGGCTATGAACTAAGATGGACCTGGGTTTGAATCCTGTCAACGCCACTTACTTGCTATGTGATCTTAACTGCCTCATTTTTTTAAATCTGTAAAATTAGAATAACAGCAGCATCCATGAGGTTCTTATAAGGATTAAGTGGAGAGATACTGCATGGAAGGTATTTAACAGGACTGACTCATGGCAGGATTTCAAAACATTTAGCTTTTATTCTTCTCATTGTGATGCACACTTAATATTTTTATATATATTGCCAAGTTACCCTTCAGAAAGGTTGTACCAATTTATACTTCCACCAACTGGATATGAGTGTGTTTTTTTTTATCATTTTTCATTAATATTGTCTATTGTCATTCTTTTTCATCTGTGCTACCCTGGGAAGTAAAAAAAATTGCTTTGATTGCTGGTCTTTCCATTGTTAATGAGGTTGAGTATCATTTCGTATATTTCTAGGTCATTTGTATGTTTTTTTGTGAATTGCTTTTTTTTTTTTTTTTTTGGTGAGGAAGATTGGGCCCTGAGCTAACATCTGTTGCCAATCTTCCTCTTTTTGCTTGAGGAAGATTGTCCCTGAGCTAACATCTGTGCCAGTCTTCCTCTATTTTGTATGTGGGATGCTGCCACAGCATGGCCTGATGAACGGTGTGTAGGTCTGCACCCAGGATCTGAAGCTGTGAACCCTGGGCCGCTGAAGCAGAGCATGTGAACTTAACCACTACACCACCGGGCCGTCCCTGTGAATTGCTTTTTTATATTCTCTTTCCATGTTTCTGTTGGGGTGTTTGATTATTTTAAGTATAGATTTTTAAAGAGCTTTTTTACATTAAGGATATATTTACTGTAAATATTTTTCCTAGTTGTCTTTTAATTTTACTTCTGATGATTGCAAATATGTAAAGAAAAAATTTCCCTAGTCAGATTACTTGTATTTTTCTTTATGGTTTCTGGCATTTAAAAATAAAGGACTTTCCTGCTCAAAAATTATAAAAATATTGTTTTGAGTTTTCTTCTGGTACTTTTAGAGATGTTTTTATTTGTTTAGATCTTTACCCACGTGGACTTTATATATCTCTAATATATAACATATCTTTTTTCAAGCAAATAAGAATTATGATGTGATTGTTTCAAATTAGGAAGGTTATGAAAGTTGTTGAATGACATTTTAAAATGTATGTACCTTTCAAACTGCCTCTTCCAAAGTAAAGATCTTCCAAAAATTTTTTTTAAAACAGATATTGTCGGCAAGTGCTTTGTGAAACTGTTCGGGCTGCCAAACTGACCCCAGTTTCTGCTCGGCTTCAAGATATTGAAGGAAAGATTGACAAATTTATTATTCCTAGAGAGGTAGGAAACATTTGGTATATTTAACTCATTCAGTTATTCTTTTCAACTCTTTTAGTGTATATTTTTAAATTTTATTGTTTAAAGTGTCCAATAAATGCTACCTATTATTAAATCAAAAGCACAATTGTTTTAAATGACAAAATAATATGTGCTTGTTTTAAAGTTCAAACAATATAAAAGAAAGGCTCCCTTCCCCATTAGTACTACTGTTAATACTTTAGTATGTATTTCTGTAGATCTTCTGTGTTTGTATATTACTCTGTGTGTATGAGTATACACATACATATGTATGTATTTTAAAAACCGAATTTATATGTGAAAGGTTTCTCTTCGTATGTTGTCCTTTAATTTTCTTCTTTTATTGCATGCATCATGGCTGTTAATATAACTGGCACTTGATACAAATCCAACTCATTTTTTATGGATGCATAGTATTCCCTTGTATGAATGTACTATAATTTATTTAAGTAGTCCCATTGATGGAAATTTAGGCTAACATTCATTTTTTTCTTATTACAAATTATGTCTTGTACAGGTATTGGGTAGAGCCTTAGAAATGGAGTTTTTGGGTCAAAGTGCATATGTATGTTCAATTTAAATTGCCCTCTAAAAGGCAGTTTATATTTGTAGCAACAATGTATGAAAATGCTTTTTCTCTCCATATCCTCACCACCTCTGGATTTATGAATCTTTTACATATTTTGTGAATCTTATATGAAAAATTATCACATTATTTTAATTTATTTTTCTCTGATCATTGGAGAGATTGACAAACTTTTCATACATATATTAACAGTTTCTATTTCTTCTTTTGTGAATTATCTGCTTGTAACTCACTCTTTTTTCTAATGAGCTTATATGACTTTTTGTATATTATATATACTAACGCTATCAGTTATATGGCAAATATTTTTTTCCTGTCTGTTTTTATCTTTCACTGATGGTTATGGTATATTTTATTTTGTTTTGTTTTTAATTTTTATGTAGTTAAGTCTGTGATTCCTTTATGGCTTCCAGATTTTGTGACATGCTTAGGGAGGCCTTCCCCACTGTAAGATCAGCAAAGTAACGGTCTTTGTTTTCTTCCCTTATTTTATATTTTTGTTTTGTATTCATTAAAAGAGCATGTAGGACGAGTTGGCTCTCTGGGAGTCATTTTGTCTCTGTTAGGCCTTTTATTAACTAGGGTAATTTTTTTTGCAGACCCTTGTCCTTTATGCCCTTGGTGTGGTACTTCAGGATCCCAGTACTTGGCCATCAGCACACAAGTATGAAATATCTGCAATTGTCTTTGTGATTATTGATTCTTATGTGTTTGCATGTTTTGCGTTCCTTTTCTAAGTTTTGAGGAGAAAATTCAGTATGTGACAATGTTACAACAAAAGAAAGCCATTACCTTCCCTTTATGGCTTCTACTCACTACTTTTTCTTTCATTAATCTGCTATCTGCTGCTCTTTGTCTCTCCTATTACCACTTCTATCCTACGATCTGTTTAATTACCTGGTCTATACAGCTATCCTTTAATTTCAATGGAATTTTGGGATTCTTTTGTTGGTAAGTAGGTATTGCTTATGCAGTTTCTTTGTTTTCCTGCTGTTGGTCTCAATTACTAAGCTCTTTAGTCAAATTCAGAAAATAGATGTGTATATCTGTGTTATATCTGAGGATGGCAAGGGAGGGGAAAGATGAAGAACAAAGCTACTGTTGTCTGCCTGCTAGAGGCATCTAGTGAAATTTGCTTTAAAGAAATGGGTTAAGATTTACTGCCTTGGAAGCAGATTATATACTGAGTTGATTGGGTTAAGACAGCTGTGTGAAATGCAGGGGGGAAAAGTTGGTAGCGTGGTTGAAGTACTAGGAAACCTACTTCTGGAGGATAAGGATGGGGCTTATTAAGTGTTCCTATCGTTTTAGTTTTTATATTACAATGATATTAAACGAAATCTATTAACAAATGAAACAGATGTAAATTGGTGGAAAAATGTATGCTTATAATTATGAAAACCTAAAATTTCAAATTTTAAAATCTTTAAAAAAAATTCTCATGTGGAAAAAGGCCAAGTTTTTGATAAATTTTAAGTGTAATATGAAAAATACAAGAACTTTGCTGGAACTTTTGACACTATTCCTATCCTCAACACACTCAGAGAATCTAGGTTACAAATTGAAAATACTGAAAAGAATATATGCTAAGATGTGGAAATCATTTGCAGGACTCAAATGTAATCAAATTTATGAAATGTTAGTAATAATATTATATGCTAAGGAAATGCTTTCTGAAGTCGGGTACCTCCTTACCCGTTCCTTGTGAAAGGTCCAGAGAGTCATTTTTTTTTTGTTTTTTGTGAGGAAAATCAGCCCTGAGCTAACATCTGCCAATCCTCCTCTTTTTTTGCTGAGGAAGACTGGCCCTGAGCTAACATCCATGCCCATCTTCCTCTACTTTCTATGGGATGCCGCCACAGCATGGCTTGCCAAGTGGTGCGTCGGTGCGCGCCCAGGATCCAAACTGGCAAACCCCTGGCTGCCGCAGCGGAGCGTGCGCACTTAACCGCTTGTGCCACCGGTCCGGCCCCCAGAGAGTCATTTTTGTCAGCACCTTGTGATGATCCTTGAGAGTCAGTTCACAGTAACAAAAATATACAGAGCTCTGAGATAGACCCCGTAGAGATAATTAACCAATTGTCAACATCCTATGTTGCATATCTTTTTATGGCTGAATAGTATTCTGTTGTGTTCTATTGTATGGATGTACCAGAGTTTGTTCAACTTTTCACTCACTGAAGGACATTTCGGTTGTTTCTTGTGTTTTGCTATTATGAATGAAGCTGCTATGAATATTCGGGTACAGGTTTTTCTGTAAACATAGGGTTTCATTTCTTTGGGATAAATGCCCAAGAGTGTGATTGCTGAGTCATATGGTTAGTGCATGATTAGTTTTGCAAGAAACTGCTGGGCTATTTTTCAGAGATTCTCACCAGCAGTGTTTGAGAGATTCAGCTTCTCTGCAGCTTCAATAGCATTACCTATAATTGCTATTTTTTATTTTAGTTGTTCTAATAGGTAGGTAGTGATATTTCATTGTGTTTATAAGTTTTCTTTTTGAGTAACTGACATTAACTTATTCTCCCTATAGAAAAATGTCTAGATATGATTTATTTACAAAAATAAATGCATTTGCATTATTACTATTACCATATTGGCAATGTTTCAGAGCAAGAAACCCTGGGTCAAATTCTATGATTTAAATGGATAATAATGTAAAAGTTACTCTATACTAAATGATGAAATATTATCAGCTTTAAAAACCAGACTAAAATAATATTCTCAGCTGAAAAGAATAAGGCAAACATCAAAAACCTCAGTATGGGTTTTTGGGACCAAGATGGTGAGATAGAAGGCTGCTGAATTTCCCTCCTCCTGTGGACACACTGAATGTACAGCTACACAGGGAACAATTTCCTCTGAGAGAAATCCAGAAAGTAGCTGAGTGACTCCTATACATTGGGCAAATGAGAAGATACATTGAAACGGGTAGGAAAGGCTAAGACATACTCTTGACATAAACCCCACCCCCAGCATAGTGCCATACAATTGAGAGGGAACCCCAAACTCCTAGCTTCTCCCTGAGGACCAAAGGGTTTATACTACACATTTATTGCCCCAACTTTGAAGACTCCCACCTGATTGATGGGCTCCCAAAACCCTAGCTCTGAAAGCCATCAGGGCTTGCTGGGGCTTGCATTCATGAGGCCCACAGGACTGTAGCAAACAAAAGCAGCTCTTAATGGGAGCACAGTGGGAGCATGAGTGCTTTCTATGGCTTTCCTCCAGGGCTCAGCACAGAGGGAGCAGACAAAAATGCCCATCTCCCAGTCTTTCCCTGGATGGTTAACTGCATACTTTACAAGCTGCTGCCTGAGGGTCCAGCTTCTCTTTAGCACACATCTAGGTATTGGCTCTGATCCCCCTGGAGCCTGGGGGAGCCAGTGGGCACGTCCCTCACCTTCTCCCTTGACTCACTCCAACAATAAAACCAAGTTGTCAGCGTGTCCCTTGTGCACACATCTAGTGCCCCAACTTGTATGGCTGCCATCCAAGGGATATGCCCCAAATCACCTAGCTCTGATAGCCAGAGGGTCTTGCATTCATAAGTTCCACAGTACTAGAGAAAACAAAGAAGCAGTTGTTAACGAGCAAGCAGGTACTTACTGTAGCTAGCCCCCAAGGTTCAATGCAGAGGGACCAGGCAAAAATGCCCATCTCCCAGTCTTTCTCTGGAAGGGGTTTGACTGCATACCTCACAAGCTGCTGGCTGAGGGTCTGGCCTCTAATTACTGCACATCTAGGTGCTGACTGCGATCTTCCCCGGAGCCTGAAATAGCTAATGGGCACTTCTCATGCCTTCTCCCTCCTCCTTACCCCAACAATAAAGCCAACTTGCCACTACCTCTCAGGAAGGAGCTTGTCCATACATCTAGCAATTCAGTTTTTACGGCTGCCACTGAGGGATGGACCCCCATCACCTACATGTGATAACCAGCAGGACTTACATTCACGACCACAAGACCGTATAGCAAACAAACAGTTTTTAAATGAGTGTAGGAGCACCCCCTGTGGCTGTACACCCAGTCTCAGCACAGAGGGAACAGACAAAACACCCATCTCCCAGTTTCTCCTTGGAAGGGGTTAAACTACATACTTTCTCAGTTTCTGCCTTGGCAGTCCATCTTCTAATCAGCCTGCCTCTAGGTGCTGACTGTGGTCCTCTCTCTTTGGACACTGACAGGTCTTGGCATACCTTCATACTGGGAGCCTCTATGAACAAAGACAGCAGCTTGGACAATCACAAAGGTTTGAAAGGCAGATAGGAGCTTGGGCTAGGCTAATTAGTAAGGTTCATCTTCTACACAAGACTGCTGTCAAGACGGGAAGAGGTGGCTGTTTTATCTAATAGGAAGAAACCAACACAGGGAGTCATGGAAAAAGAAGAAATGAAGCAATATGTTCCAAACAATAGAGCAAGATAACTCTCCTGAAACTGATTGTTCTGGAATCGAGATAAGTGATTTACCCAATAGAGAATTCAATATAACAGTCAGAAAGATGCTCACAGAGGTCAGGAGAGCAATGCATGAACAAAGTGACAATTTCAACAAAGGGAGAGAAAATATAAGAAAGTACCAAACAGAAATCACAGAGCTGAAGGATACAGTAACTGAACTGAAGAATTCAATAGAGGGGTTCAAGAGCAGACTAGATGAGGCAGAAGAAAGGATCAGTGAACTTGAAGACAGGGCAGTAGAATTCATCCAATCAGAGGAGCAAAAAGAAAAAAAATGAAAAAGAGTAAAGATAGATTAAGGAACTTATGGGACATCATCAAGCAGACCAATGTACACGTTATACATGTGTGAGAAGGAGAAGAGAGAGAGAAAGGGGCAGAGAAAGCTTATTCCAAGAAATAATGGCTGAAAACTTCCCTACCTGGAGAAAGAAACAGATATTCAGATTCAGGAAGCCCAAAGAGTACCAAAGAAGATGAATCTAAAGAGACTCACACCGGGCCGGCCCCATGGCTTAGCGGTTAAGTGCACGCGCTCTGCTACTGGCGGCCCAGGTTTGGATCCCGGGTGCGCACCGACGCACCGCTTCTCCGGCCACGCTGAGGCCGTGTCCCACATACAGCAACTAGAAGGATGTGCAACTACGACATACAACTATCTACTGGGGCTTTGGGGGAAAAAAGGAGGAGGATTGGCAATGGATGTTAGCTCAGAGCTGGTCTTCCTCAGCAAAAAGAGGAGGATTAGCACGGATGTTAGCTCAGGGCTGATCTTCCTCATACAAAGAAATAAATAAAGAGACCCACACCGAGACACATTATAATTAGATTGTCAGAAGTTAAAGACAAAGAGAGAATCTTAAAAACAACAGATGAAAAGCAACATGTTATATACCTTGGGAACTTCCATGAGACAATCAGCAGATTTTTGAGGAGAAACTTTGCAGGCCAGAAAGGAGTGGGATGATATATTCAAAGTGCTGAAACAAAAAAAATTGCCACCCAAGAATACTCTGCATGGCAAAGTTGTCCTTCAGAGCTGAAGGAGAGATAAAGACTTTTCTAGACAAACAAAAGCTGAAATGTTAAAGGGAGTTCTTCAAGCTGAAACAAAAAGATGCTACTTAGTAACATAAAAAGATATGAAAGTATAAAATTCACTGGTAAAGGTAAATATATACTTAACATGAATACTATTGTAT